ACTGGGCATGGTTAAAACTCAAGACAGCGTAAGCACAATTATTCCAGATATTACAGGTTCCGACAAGTAAAGAATTTTTATAGTCATGCCACAAATAAGCTATATATTGATTATTGACCATTTGTGACATGCTATAACGAGCAAAAATTTAAAAAAACTAATAGGTAGGTTTAAAATTAATAAATACAAATGTATTCTGGCAGTGAATGAGTTAATTATGCTTTCTATTTGCAAAACTCCTCAACCTTAACAAAAAATAAGAAAAAAAGTGAATTTTTAAGAAATTTGCGGGATTTCCCGGGATAAGAAAAATTTCCCGGGATATTTCCCGGGTTAAAAAAAACAACCGGGATCCCGGGATCCCGTTTCAGAAACCCTAATATTAAACATGGAATATATTTCGAAATTGTATGCTCGAAGTGATGAAATCTCTAACAATAAATTGTAACAATAAAACTATATGAAAGTAATGTCGTGCATAAGTATAAATGCTTATCTTATTTATTTATTTATTTCCGAATATATATAAATATTATGAATATGAATATTAAAACCGAAATTCAAAACGTGCAATTAAAATAAAATAAAAAATCACACACACTGTTTTTAACGCAAATACATAAAACAAAGTAAACAATTCTAAATGATTCAATTTCTATTCAGTTATTACTAGAATCTCTATAATTGGAGCTGAGGTATGTAAAAAAAATATGAAAATAGTTTTTTAATTAATTTTTTAAATGTTCTTCTATTATATAGAAGTTTTAATGGTTTAATTTTATAAATGAAGTGAAATACTCGAATAAATTAAAGCAATTTGACTTACAGTACATTCTTCATCCAATTCTGAGAGAATCTTTTCCCATTTTGTTTCAGTTCTCTTCACATTACATAAGAATAATCACATTAAATATTTTAAAATTTTAATTTGAATGTGGATATTCAAGAATTTTTTCCCTATTTTTGTAAATTATCTAGTTTTATTTAATGTTAGAAAGACTTGAACAAACGGGGGTTATTTTCTGTCTAGTAATACCAACTGAAATAATCTTAATAATAATAGAAACTGAATAATAAAAGTGAAATTAAGTTTATATTTATCAATAAATTAAGTATCTCAAAAATTTGAGGCACATAGCACGTTACTTCAAACATATAGTCACCATTTAAAATATCTTCCATGAAAAAAAAAAAAAATACAAAATTCTCAACATTAATTTATTCATTCAGTAACTTTTTCTTTTTCTTTTTCCTTCTTCTTCTTCTTATTCTTTTTTTTACAAATTTCTACGTGAAATTTCTGGTCTTTGTAATTAAAAGACCAGAAATTTATTTTCGTCATCAGCCAATGATTTTCAGATACATTTTATAACTATTTAATTAAAAAATTATTGAAATATAAATATTAAAAACGGAGTACAAAAGTAAATAATTTATTGTTAAATCACAGATTCTAGTAAAAGATCATTGATTTGAGACTATAGTTGTGTAAATTTATATTGTTTCTTTAAAGAATCTCACAGTTTCAAGGAGGGGAAAAAATTAGAAAGTATAATAAGAATAGTTTTTCTTTTCATTGAGTTATTAAACATTTATTGTTTTTTTTTTAAGCAGGAGTTTTTCTTAAGAACTCCAGTCAATTCAATTAACGTGGAGAAAGCTGAATACATGCCACTCGTCATCTACGAAAGAAATTAAGTTATAACAATGCAATATATTTTATTTCAATTGTAATAAATACTTTATTACTATTAAATATAAATATAGAATTATTATTAATTAAAGTAATTTTATAAATACATATTAAATTATGTAAACAATGTAAGTACAAAAGAAACGAGCAAAAATTATTGTGACATCGTCACAATGCCAAGCTGCAATTTTTAACCATATTCCTAATTTATTTAATTTAAAATATATATGTTCTCGATCTCAAATTAGTAGTCTTGCCCTGCACTTCATACTTTTCCTGTTAGTAACAGAGTCATGATGGTCATCTATGTAATTTCAAGGGAAAAGTTTTTAATTAAAATAACGTAACTTCCGATTTGTATCCGACGTTCGTATATAATTAATCAAGTTTCCTGCTCCTAAGTTTTCCATGTCTGCTCTTGACCATTCTCGAGATTAAGGAAGAACAGACAGACAGACGGACGAAAGTGGCAATTTATGTCTACATTTTTTAAAATTGCAGCCCAATTATTCTTAAAATACTGTACGAAAAAGTGTAAAAATATTTAATATTAAAGAAAATATAAAAACACTATGAATTAAAATATTAATAATTACTTATTTCATATTTATATTTTAATATTGATAATTTGAATTTAAAAGGTTTAAGACTAGCAGAACAGTAGTATATTTTTTGAACAAGATTCAACAAATTTGTATTTTCTAAGATGAAATAATTATGCCTCCATAGCTTAGAACAAAGAATAGCAAAATTATTCAGAAAGTAATGTATCATAATTAGTAAAACGCTTTGACAAGCATCAGAATTAATAAAACATAAAGCTTTTCAAAGTGCAATAGGTTCAAAAACAATGTTTAAAGATAATGAAATAAATCAACTTTATTTAATACAAATTTCGAGAGGTTGCTAACAAAACAGCATATCAACAAAAAACAAGACTTTATAAATTTATATAAACTAAAGTCAGCTCCGAAAGAGTAATATTATTTTATATAAAATCAGCAACGAGGGATTTC